GCCTTGAGCTGTCTCGCTGTAAAGTTGGGTTGTGCGTTGAAAAGATTATTTGTTGTTTACCATTTACTTGTCAAACTGGTCGGTTTACGTTTTGTGTAAATGGTAAGTAAAATTCAGGACTGGTAAATTTTGTCCCGGAATTGCGTTTACCATCTGTACAATTCAGTTCCATGTATCGAAAAACGGCTGCGAAGGCTTGAAATTAGTATCAAACGATAGGACTCGAATTTCCGTGAGCAACATTCCATATGGAAAAACCTTTCCTGATGTTCCGCTGCTCCCGGAGTTCCGCCGGTATGACCCAAAACGGTGTGATCCATTTACTTTCCAATCAGATTTTCCGCAAACTTTTTCTAAATAGGTAGTCAAGTGTTCAAGCCCTTTAAATTCGGCTGAGTGCTTTTTAGACAAAAAGTATTTATTTTTTTGCTAACTATTTGTGATTGTCTTTTTCCTTTTTTGTCCTTTTTTAGGTGGATTCTCATCCAGTTTGGGTTCGTGCGAAAGAGAAGTTTGAAGAGAAAGTTGCTGAGGTTTTAAAACGAAATGTTAAAAAACACGTTGACCTCTGAACTCATCCATTGGAAAAACTCAAACATAAAGTTTTTGTAACTTTAGTTGGTTAATAGGTAACCACTTTCCATATAACGTGAATAACGTGAGGGAATGTCAGATTTTCACTTAATTTATTCTACTTTAAATAGGAAAGCAATGTCATTTCATTCTCTGTAACATTCAGGGATTATTTTTGAAGGGTTGAGTAGCAAAATGGTGCGAGTGACGTTTTTCTATTTTTATTATGTGATGAGGAAAAGTTATTCTTGATATCACTGCAAAATTGTCACCGTTTTTCGATTAGCTCTTCAGTTACTTATTTCATGCTCTCGTGATAAACTGTATTTCAAAACAACTTGCACTACATAATTTCTTTGAATAGACTGTTCCTTTAGACAAGGAAACCCAAATAGAGGACTGGAAACAGTCTAAATGTATAATATACGATAGAAATTTAGAATACTCTTAAACTTAAAATGTTGGAAGTAGCTTACCAAGAAGTGATCGTATCGATTGTTTCACTGTCAATGTACAATTCTCCGGATGATGTTGAACCTTTTTAATATATTAAAGAAAGTATAAGTTATTAAATGTATTTTTGAAACGGTATTAAACAAAGATGGCAGAAAGTTGGTTGTGTAGCGTTTAGTCAAAACGACAATAAGAGGCTGATATTAGGGAGCTTAAAACGACGACGGCAACGAAAACTTCAAAATAACAGCAATAGATTTAGGCCCCGTCAACACGTATTCGAATTTGTTTGAAGAACGGAGAAATCGGTTGTTTACTATTTACATGGGAAAACCGGTCGGTTCACGGTTTAGGCAAATGGTACGCAAAATTCAGGACTGGTAAATTTCGTCCCCGAATCGCGTTTACCATTTGCACAAATCAATTCCATTTACCAAAAAACGGACACGAAGGTCTGAAGCCTCGGAGTCACGTTTGAGCGTGGGGTATTGAAATGAAACACGAATTTCCGTTTGGGACGTTCCGTCCGGAAAAACAGTACTACCTTTTCAGATGATCCGGTGCTCCTGGAAATTTTCCTCTGCAACGACCCAACGTCGTTTTCCATTTACTCTTCCAACCGGATTTTCCTGAACTTTTTGTTAACGATAAACTACTTTTTTCTCCGGTTTGGCCTGCGCCTACCGTCCACACGTATCCGTTGAAAATGTCACCAACAATGCATTGCAGGGTCTTTACTGATAAGCTAGCATCTTAGTGCTGGTGCTTCCAGGACACGACAAACACTTCAAACACATCATTCAGCCAATTATGTTTTTTTTGGTGACCATTACGTGACCTTTTAGTAACGGCAAACTACCCTCAAAATAGAGGTTGTTGCGGGAACTAGAGAGGGTCAACTGGTCTTCAGCCAATTATGTTTTTTTGGTGACCATTGCGTGACCTTTTAGTAACGACAAACTACCCTCAAAATAGAGGTTGTTGCGGGAACTAGAGAGGGTCAACTGATCTTCAGCCAATTATGTTTTTTTAGTGACCATTACGTGACCTTTTAGTAACGGCAAACTACCCTCAAAATAGAGGTTGTTGCGGGAACTAGACAGGGTCAACTGGTCTTCAGCCAATTATGTTTTTTTGGTGACCATTGCGTGACCTTTTAGTAACGGCAAACTACCCTCAAAATAGAGGTTGTTGCGGGAACTAGACAGGGTCAACTGGTCTTCAGCCAATTATGTTTTTTTGGTGACCATTACGTGACCTTTTAGTAACGGCAAACTACCCTCAAAATAGAGGTTGTTGCGGGAACTAGAGAGGGTCAACTGGTCTTCAGCCAATTATGTTTTTTTAATGACCATTACGTGACCTTTTAGTAACGGCAAACTACCCTCAAAATAGAGGTTGTTGCGGGAACTAGAGAGGGTCAACTGGTCTTCAGCCAATTATGTTTTTTTTTTGGTGACCATTGCGTGACCTTTTTAGTAACGGCAAACTACCCTCAAAATAGAGGTTGTTGCGGGAACTAGAGAGGGTCAACTGGTCTTCAGCCAATTATGTTTTTTTTTGGTGACCATTACGTGACCTTTAGTAATAACAAACTACCCTCAAAATAAAGGTTGTTGCTCAAAAACTGGTCTTCAGCCAATTATGTTTTTTGTTGACCATTGGGAACTTTTAGTAACGGCAAACTACCCTCAAAATAGAGGTTTTGCGGGAACAGACAGGGTCAACTATCTTTTTTATGTTTTTTTTGTGACCATTACGTGACCTTTTTAGTAACGGCAAACTACCCTCAAAATAGAGGTTGTTGCGGGAACTAGACAGGGTCAACTGATCTTCAGCCAATTTTTTTTTTGTGACCATTGCGTGACCTTTTAGTAACGGCAAACTACCCTCAAAATAGAGGTTGTTGCGGGAACTAGAGAGGGTCAACTGGTCTTCAGCCAATTATGTTTTTTTTTGTGACCATTACGTGACCTTTTAGTAACGGCAAACTACCCTCAAAATAGAGGTTGTTGCGGGAACTAGAGAGGGTCAACTGGTCTTCAGCCAATTATGTTTTTTTTTGTGACCATTACGTGACCTTTTAGTAACGGCAAACTACCCTCAAAATAGAGGTTGTTGCGGGAACTAGACAGGGTCAACTGGTCTTCAGCCAATTATGTTTTTTAACCATTACGTGACCTTTTAGTAACGGCAAACTACCCTCAAAATAGAGGTTGTTGCGGGAACTAGAGAGGGTCAACTGGTCTTCAGCCAATTATGTTTTTTTGGTGACCATTAATAGAGGTTGTGACCTTTTAGTAACGGCAAACTACCCTCAAAATAGAGGTTGTTGCGGGAACTAGACAGGGTCAACTGGTCTTCAGCCAATTATGTTTTTTTGGTGACCATTGCGTGACCTTTTAGTAACGGCAAACTACCCTCAAAATAGAGGTTGTTGCGGGAACTAGAGAGGGTCAACTGGTCTTCAGCCAACTATGTTTTTTTGGTGACCATTGCGTGACCTTTTAGTAACGGCAAACTACCCTCAAAATAGAGGTTGTTGCGGGAACTAGACAGGGTCAACTGGTCTTCAGCCAATTATGTTTTTTTGGTGACCATTACGTGACCTTTTAGTAACGGCAAACTACCCTCAAAATAGAGGTTGTTGCGGGAACTAGACAGGGTCAACTGATCTTCAGCCAATTATGTTTTTTTGGTGACCATTACGTGACCTTTTAGTAACGGCAAACTACCCTCAAAATAGAGGTTGTTGCGGGAACTAGACAGGGTCAACTGATCTTCAGCCAATTTTGTTTTTTTGGTGACCATTGCGTGACCTTTTAGTAACGGCAAACTACCCTCAAAATAGAGGTTGTTGCGGGAACTAGACAGGGTCAACTGGTCTTCAGCCAATTATGTTTTTTTGGTGACCATTACGTGACCTTTTAGTAACGGCAAACTACCCTCAAAATAGAGGTTGTTGCGGGAACTAGAGAGGGTCAACTGGTCTTCAGCCAATTATGTTTTTTTGGTGACCATTACGTGACCTTTTAGTAACGGCAAACTACCCTCAAAATAGAGGTTGTTGAGGGAACTAGAGAGGGTCAACTGGTCTTCAGCCAATTATGTTTTTTTAATGACCATTACGTGACCTTTTAGTGACGGCAAACTACCCTCAAAATAGAGGTTGTTGCGGGAACTAGAGAGGGTCAACTGGTCTTCAGCCAATTAGTCACTATGTTTTTTTGGTGACCATTACGTGACCTTTTAGTAACGGCAAACTACCCTCAAAGTAGAGGTTGTTGCCGGAACTAGAGAGGGTCAACTGGTCTTCAGCCAATTATGTTTTTTTGGTGACCATTGCGTGACCTTTTAGTAACGGCAAACTACCCTCAAAATAGAGGTTGTTGCGGGAACTAGAGAGGGTCAACTGGTCTTCAGCCAACTATGTTTTTTTGGTGACCATTGCGTGACCTTTTAGTAACGGCAAACTACCCTCAAAATAGAGGTTGTTGCGGGAACTAGAGAGGGTCAACTGGTCTTCAGCCAATTAGTCACTATGTTTTTTTGGTGACCATTGCGTGAACTTTTAGTAACGGCAAACTACCCTCAAAATAGAGGTTGTTGCGGGAACTAGAGAGGGTCAACTGGTCTTCAGCCAATTATGTTTTTTTGGTGACCATTGCGTGACCTTTTAGTAACGGCAAACTACCCTCAAAATAGAGGTTGTTGCGGGAACTAGACAGGGTCAACTGGTCTTCAGCCAATTATGTTTTTTTTGGTGACCATTACGTGACCTTTTAGTAACGGCAAACTACCCTCAAAATAGAGGTTGTTGCGGGAACTAGAGAGGGTCAACTGGTCTTCAGCCAATTATGTTTTTTTGGTGACCATTGCGTGACCTTTTAGTAACGGCAAACTACCCTCAAAATAGAGGTTGTTGCGGGAACTAGACAGGGTCAACTGGTCTTCAGCCAATTGTTTTTTTTGGTGACCATTACGTGACCTTTTAGTAACGGCAAACTACCCTCAAAATAGAGGTTGTTGCGGGAACTAGACAGGGTCAACTGATCTTCAGCCTATTATGTTTTTTTGGTGACCATTACGTGACCTTTTAGTAACGGCAAACTACCCTCAAAATAGAGGTTGTTGGTCCTCAGCCAAGATTTTGAGGACCATTATTTTACCATTACCAGTAGTAACATGGAAATACTTGGCTAAATAGAGTTCCTTGGTCTAAGTAAAAAGTGTCATCAAAACAAGAATATCTGAATGTCTGCAAAATTAAGAACGTGATCAATTTTTTATTTATTATTTAGGTAAAAGTACTCACACAATAACAATATTATTTCGCAATAAAGAAATCGAAACAAATTAATGAGCTCACCGCCAACCTTGATGTAACAGGAAACATTTCTGCTGATATGACCTAAAAGTTTACACATTCCTTCATGAGTGGTTTACCTGCATATTCTACTTTTTTTGGTTTAAGTATTAATTTGTTAGTAAGGGTTCAATTTGTTGTTCACTGTTTTATGTATTTTTACTGCCTGACCTATTAAATTGGTGTTGTTTCCTAATTCATAGCATGCCACTGTTCTTTTTTTCAAGCGAGGTACCTTGTAGCTGAATCTTAGATCTTCCCAAAGTTTCCATACTGAGCAACCATCGCACCAAGCATTCCGAACGTTTCAGATCGGGTTTTTCAGTTTTACTTTTCGACGAATTCGCACAGAAATGCTCGCGACACAGACTTATGACACTACCTTGCGACTCGAGCAGATATCTTTGTTACAGTATTAGTATTATTTAGAGACCGGTGAAACACATGGCATGACATGGAGACAGAGGAGTGGAGACTCTGTGCCTTTCGATTGTATTGATTTAGATCATGTTGCATATTTCATTTTGACTAATTCAGCCGGTCTGCATACATCTGTTGTATTGACGAGGGTGAGCGTAACCACCAGCCCTGAATCAAATCGAAGCTCTAAGAGGAGCCGGTTAACATAGTTACGAAATCCTAAACATTTGATTGCGCTATTTG